AGCAAGTACCACAAGGGACTGTGAGCACCATGGGCCGAAGGAAAGGGGCAGACCAACGAGATACAGAAGTATAAATCAAGAGGCAGCGCCCAGCCATTCATTCATTCCTGTGTGAGCCATGCGGAAGCGCTGCCATAAGCGACTTGTGCAAGGAGGTCTGCAGTGAGCCCGAGGGAGAAGTGGGCGAGAGAGGAGTTAGCCATAGCGATAGGGTAGTAGCGGCCATAGCCGCCATAGCTGTAGTTGGAGTTCAGTGTGTGTGTGTGAGTGTTCAGAGAACTGCGTGTGGGATATCCAGGGTGATCCAGTGTAGGCGAACAGAGAGTTGTTTGGGCGCTGAGCCGCCATAGCCATTGAAAGTGAACTTGCATCTGGGTTTCCATATCTCTGAGTTTCAAGTGGGCGCATGTCGCCAGCTTGCTGCTGCGCTACTGTTTGCATGCACGTAAAGTGTGAATGAAAGAGAGTCTGATTGCAATTGTCAGGATGACCTCAATACTACAGTGCGGTGCTCAGAAATGAGCAGCGCTTCACTCCCCAACGCTGAGTAACCACTCGTGACACCCCGAGCCCCTGAAACATCAAGCGCCACCCAGATACAGCCTCCACAGGGAAGCGCCACCCTGAAACAGGCCTCTGAGGCCAAGCGCCACTTAGAGGATGAAGAAGAAGACCAGCGCCACAGTATCTGATGATGACGAAGTGTCGGAAGACTTCCCAGATGGAAGTCTGCAGCAGCGCCACCAAAACCCTGACAAGACGACCTCTGAGGAAGAAGCTGCAGCTATGGCTGCAGCCCCACCACCCGGGAACCCCACTCCGGAGGAGGGTCCAGCAGGGCACCAACTTCTCTTGCCTCCAGCAGACCTCGATCACCCAGACCTCTGACAGCCCCGCGTGCTGGCAAAGTACAGCGCAGGTCCCAGCTATGGTCGGCGCTCTGAAGGTCTGGCTATGTCTGTCTCCCACAATGCGAAGCCGTCACCACTTCCGGTTCACCGGTAGCGCAGCAGCGATGTACTCGGTACCAACTGCCAAAAGCCCTGAACCGATGTGCCCATCCCATCTGTAGACTAAAACTAGCCTAGACTCGACCTAGACCGGACTGACTGACCGACCGGTACCGATTCAGTTTCGGACTCTCGGCCTCTACCTTTACCCGGCTATAGGCTATAGGACCGTCTATCAGCACAGGCCTTTAGGGCCTGTCTGTCCTAGGGGTAGCCCAGGCCTGCTATTCACAGTTAGGGTAACAATAGGAAATTCAGTTAGTGCTGGGCCTGTATTTTCCCAAATTTGTAGGTATGTCCCTCACGAATTTCCGCTACAGGTAGGTCTCTCGGCTAGCCCTCAGCCAAACAAAATTACGAATCTACCCTACCTATGGTACAGCTTCGACAGAGAGAGGCTACAAGCGACCAGAAAACAGCAAGTCATTGCAGAGAGAGAGAGAATGAGAGAGAGAGAGAGAGAGAGAGAGAGAGAGAGAGAGAGAGAGAGAGAGAGAGAGAGAGAGAGAGAGAGAGAGAGAGAGAGA